AATAGGTAAATTCTACAATCATGCTAAGCTAGCTAACTAAAGCTTATTGAATTTGTCGTTACTTACAAAAAATTTGTATTCGAACATTGCTTTGCATTTCATTTCTTTCATTCCCCGGGTTAGATTTAATCATCCTTTTAATGGATAGATGAAAGATCGAGTACGGCAGTTAACTCCAAATCGAGTAATAAAAATGATTAATTATACCCGAAAAAATAATTTATTAATATAATGCACTGATTGTTTTTTTCTTTTAAAAAAAAGGTGATGGGATGATACGCGATTTACAAGGTATAATTTGCCTTTCGGACAATTTTGTTTTTAGTAGACAAGATTTACATTTCCATAATTCCTAATTTTCTTAACTGCAGGAAATAAAAATGGAAAGAATGTCAGAGGGATAAAGATGAATCACCAAGCGTTGGAAAAATCAACAAATGAAATCTACATTAAGCAACTTACTACATCAAAACTTACAACATTTGGTACATCAATATATTGTTATCTCAAAATGGTTCGATTAAAAATGAAAACTCGGTTCAATCATTCTGCAACATAATGCGCAAAGATTAGCTAAGCATTGCACCTATTGAATGTGGAAATGATGTGTTTGTTATACGGATAATTTTGCAAAAAAGGGACCAGACCATCTGCTCCAAATAAGTAGATGAGGATGGTTATGGGAACTTTAATGTAGTAGGAATAGGAAAGCCATCTGGCCATAAGTGTTAATTTATTCACACTAATGAATTGATCATGATATAACCAAATTATAACAAAAAGTAAGGCAGCTTTTTCAAAATCACGCCATATTGATTATATCTGATTTTTATTTTTAACAAAGTATTATGTCGCAGGCAACAATTTTATAAGCCAGTCATAACTTGGAAATTTATTCTGCTCAGTATTACAACCATCAATATGACAAACCCCAAAAGAAATAAGGTTATTTCATTGGTATTTCTTTTTGTTTTCCTATTTCAAAATCATTGATGAATGGGATGCATTCTATGAGTAAAAAAAATCTATTACCTTACTTTGGTTCCGGGTTTAAACTAAAGTTTAATTTTTAAGTATCATATGTTAAAGTCAATTAATCTGTAAATGAACATGGTGAAAAAATAAGATGCAAGAAAATTAGCAAATACGAGAGAATTATTTGAACAGGTTTGATTAATAATTTTTTTTTTGTTTCTCATGATTGGTATAATGATGTAGGTTATTATTGGATTCTAGCTAAGGTGTAAGAAGAAGTTTGCATGTATTGCATTGCATGGACATTTAAGAAGAGATGCAATGTACAGTATATGCATATTCCTTTACATCTACTCAACTTTGCTGCTTGAATACTAATTCCTGATGAAAAGAAAAAATATATTTTTTTAATATTCTACAACAAATGAAAAAAAATGATTGCAGTCATCCATATGTAGTTTATTAATTCAATTCTCTTAATCCTTCACCTAAATATGCCAAAAATAGTTTTTTTTCTTGAAATGGAACAATCATTAATAATTTAATAATTCTAGATTGTATAGTAGCATCTCTGAGTCTGGTTGACAATTGAAATGAAACAATACCGTATGGTAACACGAGTCAAGTGTGGCAGATTGTTACTGCGGCACCGTAAATTTAAGCACCTCTCATATGTTGGTCAAGAGCCTTTCTCGTTAGGAATCACACATGATTTTTGCGGGGTAGAATAATGATACTAGTAAAATCCTTTGTATTCTCTGTTTTTAAAAAAAGATTTGGTTCATATTTTTTTCGAATTTTATTTACGTAAGCAAAACCAAACCAATTATAAGTTGGAATGTGATAACGCCAACATACGTTTATCTTTAACGCTGCGGCTCATGAATTAAGAATAGTCCGTGTAAGGTTTCACTGCACTTTGCCTAATCTAGTAATTTCGGCTGAAGTGCAGATCATCGACATCACCCATCGACTTTATTATAAAACTTTTTTTTTAATGAATATCACCATTTTCAATCGCTATATCTTTAACCTACCAAAAGGTATCAATTAATTATGGCAAGAAGAAAAAAAGCATCATTTTTCGTTCCTCAAAAAAAAATAATTTATTAATTTATTTTTTTGAAGAAATTGACATCAATAAAGTTAAAAACGTAAGTACAACATTATACGACAGAATTTTAATCGACAATTAGCATAAATAATAGGTTAAAAAAAATCATTAGAATGTCATAAGAGGCATTATCAATAAATTAATTTAAACATTAAAAACGAGAAACGCGACCTGTTTTTATCTGTAAAGGTGGATAACATATGTACGAGATATTAGCCTATAAATGAATTCGCATATGTACATATTGTTAACACGTTTTATTTACGATTAATTTTTAAAAGTTTGTATCCTAAAAGTGCACCAATGAAACATTTAAAGAACCTTGTATAGTCGATTCATTTGCCAACTTTAATTTAAAAATTCGGGTGATCGAAATGTTCGTAATGTATAGTTTTCTGATAAGCGTGATAATGTCAAAAAACCGAATGTTGACCTCTTGTGGTCAAAATATCTCATGATGTTCTTTTTAAGTAATTGACATGAACTTTATTTTTCAATTCATAAATTTCATGGACATGATAAATCAGTTTGGACGATCTTAGGTTATAATGCAAGCCACTTTTAAATTAGCTCGTGAATATATATATGATAACGTGTTATTATTTTTACATGGCTTTAAGACAAAACCAGTAAAATGACTTGAACGTAACATCGCTTACCAATCATTTGTACCTTTGAACAAAAATAGAATTCTTATAATAGATCGAACTCAAGGGTGTGACCTACCGCTAAATTAACGTTATTGTTTGTTTACATACTATTAGTAATATCTTTACGAAGTGAAATTTGAGACACTAATTTTAAGACATTACTCGTGGAAGCGATATCCAATAAATTTGGAACTTTAACGAAGGAAATTTCTACTAACATCAATGCATTCAATTGAATATAGTTTTAATCCTTTTAAGGAATATCCACGATAAGGGGGTTAATTTTGTCGTTGTGTTTACAATGCATGAAAACCCGATAGGTTTGATGTCGCGATCAATTTGAAGTCTGTCAAAAACGATGTTGCACTTATTGATTTGTATTAACATAAATATGTATTAGATTGTGTACCTCTTATTTTTCTCCCTTTATTCATTTAATGGATGTATTTTTTTAGAGGTCGTTCACTTTTATGCTTTATTAGCCACGGTAGTACGAAACATAACCACGAAATATCAATTGCAGCATTACATAAGCAATATACAGACGGATCAGGAATTTCAATAAACCTGGTTTTATCTCGTTCGGTTATAAAATCGAATTCTCGGGTTTACATGATTTAGTCTACAAATTATAATTTAGACCACATAATTCGACAACCTTTTTATTTTTTGCATCAAATTAATCGATTTCCCAAAAATGATCGGCTCAATAAGAAGTGGTATATTTTTGGATCATAAAATAATGTTTCACATTCAATAATTAATTCGCTTGTACCACGAAACACACAATACGCATTTATTGTGTGTGAAAAGTTCCCGGTTCTGGCACCCGGTTACCAACACGGTATATTTCATTCTAACTAAAAACTATAGTACTAGTAACACCGGTGAATTGATTTTACCAAATATTGTTTCGAGTACAATGGGATCTGGGTGAAGTAGAAAATTGGCTTATTTTTTTCATATTTTTATGCACGATTCCGGAAAAGGGTATGTTAATTTTTTTTGATTCACATTTTGTTTGTTTTCAAAAAAAAAAATTCAAGGGTTCATTTATTTGCCACATTTGCCACTTTTGAATTGTATTTATTCCTAAAATAGGAATGCCCCGATTCTTGTCAGTCTTGTTGTTCCTTAAATTATCAACAATAGGTCCTTTTTTGAATAGCAATCGTTATATTATTGTCACTCATTTGATTACCAATATATTTTATTTGATGAGAATTTAATAAACAAGCCATTCACTATATATGTTAATTGTGATCTAAACAAAAAAAAGATCGATTCCCAAATTATAATTATAAATCGATTCTTACCATATATGGCGCACCATATTTACTTAAATCATTACTATTTTTTTTTTATATTGAATAAATTAATTTTAAAGTTATGTTCATAATAATAATAAAATAAAATAAATAAATAAAATATATAATATAATATATATACATAAAAAAAAAAAAAAAAGAAACAAAAGATTCGATTTATACTCATTAAAATTTCATCCAAACCTTTTTATTTACTTGTTTATTTGTTGTATTTTAAAACTGTCAATGTTGTGATCGACATCATGTTTTTTTTTCAAGAGAAAAAAAAATTTTTTTTTTACTTTAAAATCAAAGGGGGAAAATATAATAACAACACTTACTATAATTTGATAAGATTTCATTGAACTTGGTAACAAATAAATTTTTTTTTTTTTTTTTTTTTTTGGGAATCCATGATTATTATAAAAGGGCCACTCAAAGTTCGAAGCTTGCTTCTTGCTTCTGAGTATTGGTGAGCACGGCCAGTCTCCATTTCGATCTTTATTGAGATAAATTTAATGTGAACCCGTTCTTAATATAACGACCTTGTTATTAACCATTATTTGACGAAAATTTTTTAACTGTAATGAAACCAACACTTAATAAGAATTAAAAAAGAAATTCAACTTTTTTTAACTGGTCAAACCGAAATCCTTGTTATATCTACCAACCCCTTACGATCCAAAATTAATTAATAAATTACTTCAATTATCAATAGTACTTTAAAAAAAAAAAAAAAAGTTAATTGTGTACCATTTTCGTCTAATTACAAATATTTAACAAATATTTACTACGGGTATCCAGAATAAATATATAAAGCCTTTCCTTTTTGCCACAGCGATTTTTTTTTCTCATCTCGAAGCAAAGTTTTATATTTTTACGATTTTTACGACCTTTATAATTTATCCCTTTCTTTTTTCTTTTTAAAAAGAAACAAACGTCTCTGATTTTGTCATGTCTTCTATTGATCATCAAAACTGTACTAAGAAATCCGTTTCCGCCATGAATGCTGTTAATAACGCCACAACCGATATCAAAACTAGCGGTTCAAATCGAAAGAGAAAAAATACTATTCATATTCTCATTAATGCAACCATGCAATTACTTTCTTCTCCACCAACTTCTCCTACTTCTATCAATTCATCAAAAGATCTCTGTAATTCACCATTTTCGATAGACTCTAATGAATCATCATATTTCTCGTTTCCCGAGTTTGAAACTTTTAATTATGAACATAATCAAGAAGATTTGGGATCTCGAGGAGAAGCTGACGACATGGTAGTTCAAATGGAACAATTTGATGAGATGTATGTTAACGGCATTCGAGTGCAAAAGTGATCATCGTGTGAAATTTGATGACGACGTAAAAATTCTTTATTAAAAAAAAAAAAATTTCTGTGGAATTTTTATATATTTTTTTTTCATTCTATAATTTTTAATTTACGAATTCACCAAGTAAAAAAAAATCATTTTTTTTTAAATTAAACCTCGGAAAGGGGAAGAAAAAATTTTTCTTCAAAATTTATTTATTTTACGATTTCAACAAACTCTTTAATCTCGTGGCTGGCAAAAACTTATGATTAACAAAATCCTCTCACATTATATATATGGCAAACATAATAATAAAGCGGAAGAAAAAAAAAAAATTACCGGAGGCGATTTATGATTTTCAACTATGAATCAAAAAAAAAAATCGATTTTAATATTCGAGCATTTCGTTTATAGCTCGAATTATTAAATTTTTTTTGTTAAGGTTGAAAAGTTCCATTTTTTTTTTAAAAAAAAAAAAATTCGATCGAATAATAAAAAAGGGGAACGAAACGTTATGTATTATTCTTTTTTTCGATTTCGGACAATTCATATAAAGATCATACTTGGGATCTTTTTTTTATCGAACGATGAACGAATGGACGACTTGTTCAAATAATTTTCGGACGGACAACATTTCAACATTGGAAGAAAAAATTTTTTAGTTAAATAAAAAAAAACTCGTAAATAAAAAGCGTATTCAAATAAGACACTAGGTGTCTTTATCGGCGAGAGAAATCTGTCAGCAATGATATTAAGAATATAGACGTTGAAACAAATAATAGGACTAGGTTTATTTTCTCCAAAATAAATTTTGTCCTTGTTGACTTACTATCATTCTGTCACATCTCTTATTTTTAAAAAGATGATTTAATATCGTTAATACCATTTCTTTTTTTCTGTTTTTTATTAAAAAAAAAAGTAACACTTGGTATTCAAATATATAAAAACGAACATTTTTCTTTATTTTTCTTTATTTATATTTCATTATATTTTTTATTTTTATATATATATCATATTGGACATTCTGTATATTTTTTATTTCTCATTTTTAAATCCTAGATCTGGACGACTTGAAAAAATTACCAAACTTTTTTTAATTGAAATTCCGAACAAATTTTCATTTTCTTTATTTTTTTTATGATATTTTTATATTCCTTTTTTTTCTTATATTCTTTTTTACTTTTAATTTTGTCCTTTTTTCGTTGTGTTGTATATAGTATAACTTTTTTATAAGCACCGACCGTGAATCAATTTTATTTTCCTTATTTTTATCATTTTTTTGTAAATATAAATTTTTTCGTAACAAAAAAAAAAAAAAATTAAATCAAAACAACTAAACAATTATACCATTAAGCTTAAACACTAATAAAAACATTCCGAAACATAAGGGTTACGAAAAGATAAAATCACTTGACTTTTTTTTTTTTTTAATGATAAATCTAAATATGTCGTGACTTAACTAATTTTAACGAATAATGGATTTAGAATTACATTTAATTCAATACAAATATGAAAAGGTTAGTGTGAGAAAATTTTCTTCTCCGTGAATAGAATTTCGTGATTGTACGCGCACGGACTTCCATTCAAAATATCCCGATAAAATTTTTGACAAAGAAATGTGGGAAACCTTTCAAAGATTAAAAAAAAATTTTTTTTCGAATGTGGCGCGCGCCCTTTGAGACAATAGTTTTTTTTTTTATGTGTTGACCCAGATAAAATAATAACCATTTCTAATTATATTATATCAAGCAAATTGAAAAAGGAAACAATAAAAACATATTCTTACAAATTACAAACCAAATCAAGAAAAGACCCTTTATCCAAAAGAGGACCTTTAAGAACGCCCAAAAATCAATAAAGACGCACAGATCATAATAACCATGTGTTTTTGAAGATAAAAAAGATTCTAGAACATTTTTTGTTTAATAAAAAAAAATTTTTTTGTTTTTCCTGATGGTTGAATCACTGCGCCTACGGTTTTTCAATTAAGTTATATACTTTCATTGAAAATTTTGGGAGGCGGTCAAGGAAATCCAAATTTTGGTCAAAATTTATATTATTGGACCATTTGGCTGATCTCGGTCATGTGCACAAAATTAGCTTAATAATTAAAATTAACAAAAATTTTGGATTTCCCCCCTTTTCTACTGACCGCCTCCCATATATTTATAAGGTTGCAAGTTATTATTTATATTATATAAATAAGAAAAAATTAATTACTATTTACAATTTGATAAAGTATCAATTTCAATTTCAATATCAATTTATATTTAGAAAACAATTTTAAAAATTCTTCCTTTAAATTTAAACCTAATTTTTCTGAAAATTCAATATATAACATATTATCATTTATAAAGATTTGATATACAATTATTTATAAAGTATAATATTATTTAAGAGATTTATAAATCCATTTAACTATATAAATAATATACAATAATTATATTATATATAATAATAAATAATCATAATAATTATTTAAATTAATTGTAATTATATAGTAAAATGCAATTATCATAATAAATTTTCATGAATTTAATTTAAATGCTTAGATAAATAAATAAATTTAATATAATAATTAATAAACTTAGTTGTTTTTTATAAAATTAAATTACAAAAAATTTAAAAAATTTATATATTTTATATATTTAATAAATAAATTCTTTTAATTAAATATTACTATAATTTAAAATAAAGTTAATGTTATAATAATTATAAAATTAGTTAAACATATTATAAAATCATAATAATACTTAATATAATAATTTATTTTATTTTAATTATTTACAAAAACTCAAAAAATTCAAAAAATGATATTAATTCAATATCAAATCTATATTATTATGATAACTTTACTATACTTTAATAATAATTGAATTAAAGTCATTAAATTTATCTTTATTACATCATTTTGATGCAGATATGATATCAATACAATATCAATATTAATATCAAAATAACATTGAATATGATATAGATACAATATCTATACACTAAAGTTACAAAGTCAATTCAATATCATAATTATATCAAAATTATATCAATATTAATATTAAAATAATATTATATATAACATTGATTTATTACAAATTCAATATTGATTCAATTCTTTACAATATCAAAATAATATCAATATTATATAGATTCAATCTTGATACTATAATATATTTACAAAATTAAATAATAGGTATAATATTTTATATTAAAATAGTAAATATTTATTAATAATTAAAGTTCAAAAAATAATTATTTATTTATTTTATATATTCAAAATTATATGATCATTTTACATTTTGTAAATAAAATTAAGTACTTAATATAACAATTATACATATAATCCAAAGTATTTTAATATAATAATAAGTATATTCTTTCTAAATTGTTAATAGTTAAGTTTTCTTGATATATATTTTATATAAAAACAATTATTTTTATTAATTATATTAAAAAAAAAAAATATGAAAAAATTAATTAAAATTCTATACAAAATCATTTGAAATATATATTTTCATACTTATTTATTAGCTTAGTTTGTTCAAAGTTTTAAAGTATTAATTATATTATGAACATTTCTAATAATTATTTTTGTTTTAAAATTATTATTTATTGTTTAGATATAATAAAAAATTTTTAAAATAATATTCCAATAACATTTAGTTACAAGCTTTAAAAAGTATAAATACTTCATGATAAGAAAAAGAAATTTATTTTTATTTTTTTAACATATAGTATCACAAAATAAATTTTTTTTTTATAAATAAAAATTTGAATTTTAATTAAATAATTATCATTATAAAATTAAAATTATATGATAATATGAAATTTATTATTACAACAGTTTTTATTATATAGATTATATCTATTATTATTAATTATAAAAAAAAAGCCTTATATTAGGATTTTTTTTAAAAAAACCTTCTTTCTATTATTATATTATTACCAATTATTATTACTAATTAAAAAAAACTTTTTTTTAATGTAAAAAAAAAAACACTCCTATTATTATTAATTAAAAAAATATTTTTTTTTAATGTAAAAGAAATTCCTATTATTATAAATTAAAAAAACTTTTTTTTAATGCTCTAATAAACATATTAATATATTAATGTATTAATATGTCCACTTGGTTCAAACTAATATGTAATTGGATATTACAGTTTTCTTACACTAGTTAAACAATAATAAATAGGGATTAATCAGATCAAATTTGGGTTATCAGATTTAATCTGATTAATCTCCTATTTTTTTTATTTTTTTAGAATCAGATAATTCTGATTGATAATAAATAATGATGTAGATAGGAAACTAGGATTCCTTAAAATCAAATCAAATTAAATATTTAAGCAATTTGAATTTGATTTGATTTTTTCAAATTGAATTGAATTGAATTGAACTCAAATATTTGA